TTCATTTGAAGGCTGGTTTGTTTAGCTGGGTAGAGCATCACAAGCAATGACTGAGGTGTCTATTTTGATTTCCTGGCTGTATAACTCGGCATTAAAGATTCCTGAAGAAAAAAAGGCTTTGGGAACACCCAACTTTGGCCTTCCATAGTCTGAACGAAATTACAAGAAAGATGGAGAGGGACTTTTTCCAGGGGTCTGAAGTGACAGGACAAGGGGGAATGGCTTCAAACTGACAAAGGGCAGGGCTGGATGGGATTTTGGGAAGGATTTGTTCCCTGGCAGGGTGGGCAGGGGCTGGGATGGAATTCCCAGAGCAGCTGTGGCTGCCCCTGGATCCCTGGCAGTGCCCAAGGCCAGGTTGGACACTGGGGCTGGAGCAGCCTGGGACAGTGGGAGGTGTCCCTGCCATGGCAGGGGAATGGGAATAAATAATTTTTAACATCCCTTCCAACCCAACCCATTCTGTGACTGTGACTCTATGACTTTGTCAGAACTTTTCATCACAAAAAAAAAAATCCAGCCCTCATAGTTACAGGGTAAATAAAATTCTCAGTTTTTAAAAATTGATTTTAAAATCAAGTCACAGGTACTTACACTTAGAGCTACCTACACCAATGGAAACTATATTTTTATATTATACATATATTATATGTATACTATACTATTCTATTCTATTATATTAATGCATTATATGTTTATATATATATATATATTCATTTTCTTGCCAGCAATGTTTTCATCTTTAAAAGCTCTCTAAAAGAGCTCTCTAATTCACTTGGCTGCTTAAAGAGATTTGCTGCCCAGTCACATCAGAGGAGGACTTTTGCCTCTTTCCAGCAGGTTTTGCATTTCTGGCTCTCAAGCTCTGACCAAAAGGGTAATTTTTCAATCATCAGAGAACAGGTTTGGCACTTAGGATTTAGTGCCCTGTAATGACATCTTTAAAGCTGGAGAGTTACAGTGTACTAAAATAAAAAATAATAAAAATAAGAAAGCTGGGCCAGAAAAATAACAGCTGAGAAACTTACTGGAACAAAATGTATATAATAAAAAATAATAAAAGGCTTTTTATCTTTTAAACACTCGAATAATTTTGTCCAACTGTAGTAAAAACCAAAACTTTCCTTTAATCCTCTCACTTGGAGCACACCTTTAAAACAAACCACAACAATGGATGGAGCTTCCTGCATCCACTTCCTGCTATGACCCACTGTAATTCTTTGAAATAAATATGTTTGGGGCTATTTTGGTAAGGGCAATGTTTAGTGTCTGTCCCCCAGTGTGTAAATGTGTAGAATACAGCAAAGATTTAACATCTGCTATAAATAATTTTACAGAGGATCTCAAGTTCTCCTAAGGTTATTAGGATATTGTACAGGTGGCCAAATTATTAAAATATGGTTTCAATCCAACACTGAGGCGTTTTCATAACGTGCATTGGATTTGAGGGTCTGGAAGCCACATGTCAGCACCAGGCTGGCTCCCTGCAGGTCCCAAAATCAAAGGCACTTCCCAAACATCCCAGCCCAGGCAGCTGCAGCCACAGCAGCCCCAGGGAGGGTGGAGGGGATGGAAAAGCCAGGGCAGGCTGCTCTGCTCTCAGACAAGTGACCTTTTCTGTCAGCATTACAGCATTACTTTCTCTGCCCCACGCTGATTGAGTCAAGACCTCCTCCAAGGGAGCTGAATTTTAACATCTGGCTGTGAGCAGTGCAGAGTGAGGGCTGAGGCACACAGAGCCAAACAGCTGGGGCTGTGTCTTTGTTCAAAAAGTGAAAATTAAACGAGGGAAAATTAAATAAAAATTATATTTAAAAGCCCTGCTTCTTCCTCACTGGTAACACTCAGTATTTATTCCTGTTTTGAGGTGCTTGGTCAGGAATGCAGGGGAGCCTCTTGCCTGCAGTGCTCAGTTGTAGCCATGATATTTCCTGAAAAATCCTTTCCTTAGGATTCTTTCTCCTGAGAAGCTGGGAGGCCTCAGGAACAAAATGTAAACAATAATTATCTGCTGCTGTGGAATGCAACAGGTGGATCTGTGATTGGTCTCATGTGGTTGTTTCTAATTCATGGCCAATCACAGCCCAGCCGGCTTGGACTGTCTGCCTTTGTTATTCATTCCTTCTTTTTCTATTCTTAGCCAGCCTTCTGATGAAATCTTCTCTTCTATTCTTTCAGTATAGTTTTAATATAATATATATAATAAAATAATAAATCAGCCTTCTGAAACATGGAGTCAGATCCTCATCTCTTCCCTCATCCTCAGCCCCCTGTGAACGCTGTCACACTCAGTGGTGCAGAGCTCTGGGAATTTGGGTCCCAGCTGGAAGGAAGGACATGGACAGACAGCAGGACAACCCATTTCTGCAGCCTGTGGTTCTGCTGGGCTGCTCTGGAGAGCACAGAAAGTGGATTTAGCACAGAAACTCTTATTTAAGGGAAGCACTCACTCTGTTGCTGCAAGGGAGAAGTTCCTGTAGCAATTCCTTCTGTCCCATGGAATAGAGGGGGATTCCACTACCTCAAGAAGCACCTAAAGCCCCACCTGAGCCCCTGAGGTCTGGGGAGGCTCCAGGATGGGCAGAGGGATGGAGCAGCTCTGCTGGCAGGAAAGGCTGGCACAGCTGGCATTGCTCACCTGCACAGGAGAAGCTTTGGGCTGAGCTCAGGGCGGCCTTGCAGGGCCTGGAGGAGCCCCAGGAAAGCTGGAGAGAGACAATGGCCAGGGGATGCAGGGACAGCACACAGGGAATGGCTGCCAGTGCCAGAGGGCAGGGCTGGGTGGGATCTTGGCAATGAGGAATTGTTCCCTGGCAGGGTGGGCAGGGCTGGGATGGAATTCCACCCCTGGATCCCTGGCAGCGCCCAAGGCCAGGTTGGACACTGGGGCTGGAGCAGCCTGGGACAGTGGGAGGTGTCCCTGCCATGGCAGGGGTGGCACTGGGTGATTTTTTAGGTCCCCTCCAACCCAAACCTGGCATGAATTTACCTCTGTACAGCCCTGCTCTCACACCTGTGGCCTGCACTGCACAGACTCCAACAGCTTCCAAGGCAAAAGCAAAGGATGAAATGCATAAAATGCACCTTAAATCCTTTTAGGTCAGGCACATCACTCAGGAGTCAGAGCCTTCAGGAATGGAAATCACCTCTGCCCACCAAATAAATTCTGCAGTGTGACAAAGCAGAATGGGCTTGGGAAGAGCCCTTGGTTTGAAAAGGAATTCAGCAGAAGACAGATCAGTCTTATCTAAAAAAGTAGTAAGTGGCTTAAATGACTTTTAAAAGTGGGATTAAAACCCCTCCTCCAGTCTCACAGTTCACTCTGGTTTCACAATCTCCATTTAGCAAATACCTCAGCAAATCAAGTCTTACACAATCTCATTTCAAACTTCTCCCCACAAAGCTCTGGAGCCATCTGCCACATTTGACAGCTCTGAAGTTTGTGAACTCCCCGAGGATTACACCCAGCAGCTGGGAGGAAACAAGGAAACTTCACTGCAGGCTCTGGGCAGATACTGGAGAGCACAGGAGGGAAAATAAAAAACGGGCAGCAACATTAAAATGTGGAAAAAATCTTCAGTCAACACTCACATCTGATGAAAGACAGTTCATCATTAGTTCTGAGGATTCCAAATATTTAAGGGGTGAATATCACTTGCTTCCTAAATCAAATGATGGGAAAAGGCAGAATTTTAAATTAAAATCTCTTATTTCACTGGCCTACAGCACTTCCCAACTACATCCTACCCAAACATTTCCTGCTATGGAGAGCTTTCAAGCTTTCAATTTTGAGGAATTCTGCCAGAACATCAGGCTTAAGTCTGATTTCATCTCCCAAATTTGCCATCTTTATTCAAGGTGTTTAGGAGCATCTCACACCCCAGCATAAAGCCAGGTAGTAAAAACTGAATTAAATATAATGTAATAACTGTTTTAAAACATTGCAAACTGCCTGGGTAACCACACCAATAACAGGAATACATTAACAATTCCTCTAAGGGTCTCTGTATAATTTACTATTAAAGAGATTTCTTGTTATCTGCTTTATTTATTAAGAACCAAACACGTAAAAGTAAGAAAATGGTGCAGCCAACTTTCAAAACAACAGAATTCTCAGCTCAGATCACACATAAAACCAATTTATGAATTAAAAGGATGGACAGAAATGGGGGAAAAAACCCCAACAAAGCTTCAGAATTTGTTCCAAAATCCAGTTCCAAAATCCAGCACCATTTTAGGCAAGATGTGCTCATCTGCAATTACCTGAACTGAAATTTAAACCAGTGACAGTTCTGAGAAGGAAAACACTGCTCAGAAATACCCACTGAGCATCCAGTGTAAATCAAAGCTGCACCCAGCAGAGAACAGAATTACAAATTAAAACTTTAACACCATTTTTTTAAACAAAATCTTAAATTAAACAGAGTACAACTCAGAACTGTACCTCAATCCTAGTTAGTACTTGGAATAAACTGCTGAAATTGTTACCAACTCCCAAAACTTTTTACTTTCCTCTAAAAATCACATGCTCTGCCTAAGAGATCTTTTATTATTTCTACCATTGCCCATATTTTGGTGGTTTAAAGTGAATTAAATCAGTTTGCCCTGGCAAATCCAGCTGAAGCAGCCTGAGATCCTGCCAGCCCCTTTGACCAGGAGAGGTTATTTTTCACTGGCAAGTTTTAAAGGCATTTACCACACTTGAATTACTGCATTTTTGTATCAATATATACATTAAAAAGGGCATGTGGAGCCATAAATAAACACAAACAAAATTCTCTGTGTATGGGAAAGGACAGAAAATGCATTTTCTTGATCACAGACAAATCTCTGAAGAGCATCAAATATTAGAAAAACCTTCAGATCTCAAAATAAAGTAAAAAAGGGAGAGGTCTTGTTAGATTCAGACAGAATTCCTTATCTCTATTTTCCTCTTTGAAATATAAAAGGAATACTTTTATTACTTTTAGGAATAAAAGGAATACTTTTATTGTTTTAGGTAAAACAATCCTTTCAGGAGGAGAAAAAGGAGTTGCTTTTCATATCCAAGATCTTTCCTAAAATCACTCCACAAGAATCTTCCAAGCCATGCAGAAGGGTGTTCAGTGATGAAATTAAAACAACAAAAATGAGTGGGAAAGTAAAAAAATCTACTGGAATTTATTCTACTTTTAAAGGGAAAAAAAATAAAATCCCAGAAGTCCTCAAGGGAAGAAACTGGAGTTTACAAAGTGCAGCACAAGTGTCCTTGTCAGATGTAGATGTTATTGTGAGTTTCACTGGCTGTCAGGAACTTCTTCAGGATCTTTGTGCTTTCGGAGGCATCCTGGGGAAAGGAGGAGAGGATCAGCATCAGCCACAGAGCTGGGACAAAGCAAGAGCTCCCCTGGCCCCATTTTCATTACTCTGAACATCACTTTTACTAAGATAGTAACTAAATTTTATTAGATATTATAATTATATAGTTATACATTATTTATTTAGATTAATCAAAGATATAAATATCACATATTATATCATACTTTATTATATATAATAATATATATACTAATATATATATAATATAGTATATATTATATATTAGTATAGTATAATATATAGTATATATATAATATAATATAATATATACTATATAATACTATATTATATAGTATATAATATAATATTATATATTATATACTATAATATATAACAATATAGATTATATTATATATTATAGTATATATTATATATAATATATAATACAGTACTATAGATATAATATAGTACTATATATTATACTATATTTTATATATTACATTATATTATATTATATTATATTATTATATTATATTATATTACATACTACATTACATTATATTCTATGTAATATATTATATATTATATTAATACTATATTATATTTATACTACATTATATTGTACTATACTATATTATCTATTATACTATATTACAATACATAATAGAATAGAATACATAATAATAGAATAGAATATATAATAATAGAATAGAATATATAATAATAGAATAGAATATAGTAATGTAATGTAATGTAATGTAATGTAATGTAATGTAATGTAACATTATATTTATATTATATTACATTATATCATATCAATATTAACTGAGCAAAACTCAGGTTTTCTGAATGAATTTATCCACAGGAATCTGCAGTGCAGCAAGAAAATGGGATTTATTATTTTGCATTCCTCCTTGCTTGCACATGAGGGGGAAGAGTCTCTGTCATTGTTCTCCTTCAGAGTTTAAATATTTATGTCTTACTCAGAGTTATTCAGCAGAACAGAATGAGCTGCACTGAAAACTGATTTTAGGACTGAAATAAACACCTCAGTACACACAGACCTCTTTGGGCATTGAAATCTGGGTTCAAAGTGTTCTCAACCAACTAGAATTCAATTAAAAACATTTCAGAAAGAGGAAAACATTCATTTTAGGGGCTGCAATGGGAATTTATGGGAGCAATGGGATTTACTGTGAGGGTGGTGGCACACACAAATTGTGGCTGCCTCACCCCTGAAAGTGTTCAGGTCAGGCTGGATTTCACAGCTGCTGGGTAAGTGTAAAAATTTCTTCAGGAATTTGGCCTTGTAGCTCCAAAATGAAGTTATAGGCCAAAATGGGTTATTTTAAGAAGCTTTCCTTCATGCCAGAAGAGAGGCAGATACAGAGCTAGAACAGAGCCATCTGATATATGAATATAAAATGTAAAAAAAATAAAAAAAACATACAACAAAAAGTTTTAAATGAGGCAACTCCAAAGCAAACTGCAGCTTACACAAGCACAAAAACCCCTCCCTGATATATTCATACCATTAGCAGAGCCTGAAAACCCAAAATGAAGTTCTGAAGGAAGCTGCAGAGTGCAATCCCCACAGGGGAACAAACCCAGCAGAATGCAAGAGATAACAACAGACAAAAGCTCCCATTGATTATAAAAATGGAATTTCACCTTGGCTAAACTCTTCAGGAGCTCAGAAGAGAGCAGAGGCTTGAAGGCTTCAATGGTGACTGTGTCCAGCTTGATGACATCGGTGTAGCACTGGTACAGCACTGCAGGGATGCCCCACACCTGGCAGTAACTCAGCACTGGCACAGGGAAAGGAAATCTGTTAAACTCAGCACAAAGGGATCTCTGCTCTGGGTGTAAAAATCAGAATTTTAAACCCATGGGGGTTTCATTACCAGCTCAGGATGCTGACTGCTGGGGCAGCCACTCATCCCCCAGCTATACAAGGAAAATTAGTTAAAACTAAAAATTAGTTAAATGTAGGTGTTTTTTCCTGGCACATACCCTACCTGGAAACTGTACGTAAAAATATAATATAATATAATATAATATAATATAATATAATATAATATAATATAATATAATAATATAATATAATATAATATAATAATTAAAATAAAAATTAAAATAATAAAAAACTCAATAAGATATTTTATTAAATATTTAATAAATAAATAAAAATAAGAAAATAAATTTAAATGTAGGACATCCAGGGAATGAAAATAATAAATAAAACCAGTAAAATATTTTATCAAATATTTAATAAGTAAGTAAAAATAAGAAAAGAAATAAAAATTATAGCAACATCTGCAAAAAACCCAAACAACCCCCCCAAAAAATACCCATCTAAAAAACCCATAAAAAGGAATGTGAATAAGAGAAAAACATCCACTTTTAGCTCCTGCCAGACAAGCTTTTCCATTAGGGATTCTAGAATGAAAAACTCAAGGTTTTTATTAAATTACATAAAAAACTGAATCTAATTTTCCCATGAGGTTGATCAGTGGACCTGTGCAAGCCTCCTGACCTGTTATATACAGAAAGGACTTTATGAGGTTTTACTTTGGGTGCTCAGAAGAAAATAATTCCTAATAAAACTTATTTAATTACTAAGTAAAATTCCTAAAAACCCCCACTGTACAATATGCTTTGTAAGGCAGTACTGGAGAATTTCCCAGTACTTCTGTCCCACACATAACTGGTAAAATGATTTGTGGCTGGTTTGGAAAATTGTCCCTATTTTCCTGAGCAATATATAAGATATGAATCTGTCAGTAATAAATTTTTAAAAAGCTGAATTTTCAGCTTTTCACATTTAAGCAAAAATTCTAATTGCAGAGGGATGTTTCTCAGGGGGAATTGTGTAAATAATTGGAATTGCAAAGTACCAGCAGCAGGAAGGTCCCTCACAATGTTGGGCTGCTCCAGCAGCGGGCAGCAGACCTGCTCCTGGAATTCTTTGGTCTTCAAGGCTTTCAGGAATGGAGACACAAGGGTCAGAGTGGATTCCTGAGTTTTGTAATCAGCTACAGGACACGTGGAAAGGATGGTGACTTGCAAGCCTTTCTTCTGCATGGAGCCAAAAACCTGAAATTCAAAAAAATACATCAGCAAAAAAGTTCTCTTCTCACAATAAAAGCAGAGGAGCCTCAAAGATTCATTTCAATTTCAGATTCATTTCAATTTCAGTCATTTATCTTGAACTCAGGTTTGCAGGACCAAAACCAGTCTGAATCACAACCTTCAGGTAGAAATTTCCCAGGTATTGCTCCTAGGATACAGATAAAAACCCCAAAATAACAGCTGACATATTTACTAAGTCTAGTGATCTTCTGGAGAGGTTTTAGGTTTTCAGCACTTTGAGCACTTAATTTGAAAAAATTAAGATTTACTGCTTTAATTAATGGTGATTGTAAAAAAAAAGAAAAATAGGATTCCAAATAAAAACAAGCAGTTCACTGAGCTGCTTAACATCTGAAATGAAAACTGTGCTCCCTGGATGCCCTACAATATTGTAAGAGACTTTATTTTAAATGCACAGATTTTATTTCATTCTATTCAGGTTGAATTGAGAAAGAGAATCCTAAATTTTCTTTCTCATATCCAAACAACAGAGTTTTGAAGTACACCATCTTCTGGACATTACAAAATACCAACAGGGGAAAAGGAAATAGAGAATTTGGAAACTGTGACAGAAAATTGCCTGTTTCTGTCTGTGTACCAGTCCCAGGAGGGAAGCTGTGCCCTCCCATCACTGTCACTGTGTCACCACTGTGACAGAAATCTGACAGGAATATTCATCAGCCCACAGATTTTCCACTTGTTTTGCTGGGAACACAGGCTGGAATCCATGGCTGCAAAATCCAACCTGTGTGTTCTGGTTTGTCAGTGATCCTTAGAGGAAAACCCACCCAGATGTGAAGATCTGACCTGTGGAGATGGGAGATGCTCAGGAAATCAGGATTTACACACAGAACAGAGCTGCAACTCACATGAAAAGCAAAAAGATTGGCAGCACGTTGTTTCTGCTGCACATTTAAAAATACCAACAACCACAAGATGTAAAAATACTCAGGAACATTGACTTGGTACAACCACACTCCTGCTGTTCAGGAACACCCACAAATGGGGAAGACAACAACCCCCAGCCATCTCTCTTCTGCAATCCCACTTCAAACGAAGTGCAGGAATGTGTGGAATACAGCAAAAATCTGAGGTCTCAGGGTTTTTAAACTTCCAAATGAGCTGTGATCCCCCAGCAAAGCTGTACTGATCTCTAAGCCCAGCTTTAGAATCCCTGCTGCTCCATCAGCTCAGCACAGATTTAAAGGCAGGCAGGGAGCAGACAGACAGCAAGACAAAATAAGCCACACGTCCTGCAGGCAAAGCGGCGACCCAAATCCATCAGGAAAATCACGAGGAGGAACATTCACCCCTTGGCTTTATCTTGTTAAAATCAAAATGATGAGATTTGGAGGGACTTCCCTGAGCCAGCAGTGCTCCTGTACCTGGATAATGCTGGTGTGAGGCCCTGGGAATGTTAAATGTGGGAAGAAACGGGACAAATTCTGCTTGGGAGGCACCTCACAGAACACACCCAGCAGCTCCACAACTGGTTTGGCTGGTGATCCTTTGGCAGCTGGACAAATTGCTGTTGGTTTTTTTTTTAAAGGAAAAATTCGCCCAGAGGTGAAATGCAGCTGAAATAAGGCATGGGAAATGAAAAGCAAAGCAGGAAAAAGCTTTGGGAAGTGGTTAAGGGCCAACAAAAGTGAAACTGTGCAGAAGGAGTGACTGCACTCAGCTGGGAGCTTACAGCACAGAAAGGGATTTCACTGATCCTGCAGAGAGTAAATGGATCTATTTTTGAATATTTAATAAAAGAAAACCACATGGGAAACTTATTTAACACTGTCATGGTTAAAGTATCAGAGAAAAGATCCCCACCCTCAGGATTTTATTACTCCATTTATTTTCTTGCCAGTTTTACCTTCTCAAGCCACTGGAACTGTTGATCCTCAGCCACGTAGCAACTACACTGGCACAATAAAACCTAAAAAAAGGGAAAACCTTGTGTGAGCAAGTGGTTTAAAGGGCACAACAGCAGCCTGTAAGGGTGATGTGGCTGCAGACAATAAATTGTTCAGTTATTTTGGGTTTAACTCTGTTTCAATGAGGATTTTTTGCTCACAAATGCAGTGAAGCCACGAGGCTGTGACATCTCTGTGCTGAACTTCACACAGTTTTAGTTTTAACCCTTCAGATCATTTATGAGATTAACCCATGATCCTGCAGTGCCCTGTTTGGGGGTGGATGAAGTTTCTCTTTTTCAGAAAGCCAAACCACAGAGGAATTAATGCTCAAGTCACTCACTGTGGGGTCTGATATCAATCTGTAGAACAAACAGAAAGAGTCTGTGGGGAGGACATTTGTGCTGCTGGATGTTCTGCACCACTCATTCCACAGCTTCACAACTCCAATCACTTCCCAGCACACAGAATCCAGGATAAAAGATGACAGGAAAGCTGCAAAACCCATTAAAAATAGTGTTAATTTATAAAGAGTAAAACCTCTGTTTTACAAATAAATAGCTGGACTAAATTAGATTATTCCTTTGCAATCTGAAGGAAGAATAACTCATTTTTATCAACTTATTGACCAAATCTAAGAAATATCAGCAATGTGCTAACCCTGCTGTACCCAAATTTAAAAAGATGAAGAGATGTTCAACACATACAGATCCCTAACATAAAAATCACTTGTTCTGAGGAATTACAGCATTACAATCAACTTCAATTTCTTTAGTATTAATTAAGATTGCGAAATATTAGGTCTCTAATACCTTCTGACATAACAGACATAGCAGATTAAAACCAAAACTCACTGAAGCAGCAAGGCAGAACTATTACACTGATTTTAGAAAAAACAAAGGCAAGAGTGTGGCAAACATGTTAATAAATCAGACTCCTGTCAAAAGCTACAGAAGACAGATCCAAAATATCTATTACTATTTTTCAAGGAAAAACCCAAACAAATTAGCAAAGTTAACCTTGATAAAATATAAATGTCACTTCAATGCAAGCAAGACTTCTGGGTACTATTAGATGAAAACTTTTGCCAATTAATAAACAATCCCGGAGAGTTTACCAAACAAAGCCAGGTAAAGAATAAGGGGGGATTGTCCTAACTAAAATCCCAAACTAAAACATACTTCACTTTTTGTATTCAGCTGAAAATACATCAATTTCCAAGAGGAATAAACACCTGTAACAATAACTGTGTTTTACATGCACAGAGGAACTTCAGCTTTCTCTGGACAACTCAGCTGCCTCCAGGTTTAACCTCTGCTGCTAAATGAGGCGCTGCACAGTCAGTAAATAGAGGGGTTAAGTGAAAGCTGGAGAGGGATTTTTCAAAAGGTAACGGGATGACAGGACAAGAGGGAACGAGTTGAACTCAAGGAGGGCAGGGTTGGATGAGATTTTGGGAGGGAATTGTCCCCTGGGAGGGTGGGGATGCCCAGAGGAGCTGTGGCTGCTCCTGGATCCTTGGAAATGCCCAAGGCCAGGCTGGACATTGGGGCTTGGGAATGTCCTGGCACATTTTCACCTCCAATTGGGGCTTGGAGCAGGGAATGTCCTGGCACATTTACAGCCCCAATTGGGGCTTGGAGCGGGAAATGTCCTGGCACATTTCCACCTCCCTGCCACCTTCTGCCTCCCCAGCTTATCCCCCAGCCCAGCCGCTGAGGTTCTGCACGCACCCGCAGCGTTCCTGCCGATGGCCACGATGAACCTGGAGCACACCAGGGACTCCTCAGCACAGCTCCACAGCACTTGGATCTCCCTGGGAAAACAACACAGAACAGCCCGGGCTGGGAGGGACCCACAAGGACCATCCAAACCCAGCTCCTTGCTCTGTAGAGACCCCCAACAACCCCACCATGGGCATCCCTGGAGCTCTGGCAGCCTCGGGGCCGTGCCCATTGCTGGCACTGGGCAGTGCCAGTACCCTCTGAAGGAAGAACCTTTCCCTGATCTCCCCGCGCTGTCGGTACCTTTTCTTCTCGATCTCCCTGCGGATCTCACGGTCCTCGGGCGTCTCCTCCCGCGCCTCCTCCTCCTCGTCCAGGCCGGCCCGGGACGGGGCCACCACCACCTCCCCGAAGAAGGTCGCCATGGCCGCCTCGCGCCTGCGCGGCCCCGCCCTCAGCGCCGGAGCAGGCGCGGGAGGCGCCGGGGGCTCTGAGGGGAGAGGCGGCGGCAGCGCCTGGTGCCTTCCGTACCTCCAAACCTCCCACCAAAGGCCACGTCCGGGCGGGTCTGGAGGTTTCGCAGAGATGGTGACTCCATCGCATCCCTGGGCAGCTTCTTGCAAGGGTTAACCATCCTTTCAGTGAAGAAAATCATGCAGATATCTCATTTAAACCTGCCCCGCCTGACCTCGATGCCGTTCTGTCCTGTCACTGTTCCCTGGAGCACAGCCCGAGCCCCCCCGGCTGTGACAGCTCCCAAAAGAGGATGGAGGTGAAAGGGACAGGAACAAACCTCAGGAAATCCCAGAGTTCCAAAATCCCTGGAGGGGTTGGCAAAGCCCTCCAAGGTCACCAAGTCCCAGCTGTGCGTGCCCCATGGGCACCTTGTCCCCAGCACAGAGCACTCAGTGCCACCTCCAGGGGACACCTGCAGGGATGGGCACTGCAAAGCTCCCTGGGCAGCCCCTGCCAAGGCCTGAGCTCCCTTTCCATGGGCAAATTGCTGCTGCTGTCCCAGCTGAGCCTGCCCTGGCCCAGCCTGAGGCCGTTCCCTCTGCTCCTGTCCCTGTTCCCTGGCAGCAGAGCCCGACCCCCCCGGCTGTGCCCTCCTGGCAGGGCCTTGTGCAGAGCCACAAGGGCCCCTGAGCCTCCTTTGCTCCAGCCTCAGCCCCTTCCAGCTCCCTCAGCCCCTCCTGGGGCTCCAGCCCCTGCCCAGCTCCGTTCCCTGCCCTGGACACGCTCCAGCCCCTCCAGGGCTCTCCTGCAGGAGCAGAACTGGGCCCAGCCCTGGAGGGGCCTCTCAGAGCCAGCACAGAGGGACAATCCCTGCCCTGCTCCTGCTGCACACACAATTCCCCATCCAGCCCAGCTGCCAGGGGCCTCTTGCCCCCCTGGGCACCCCTGGGCTCGTGTCCAGCCCCTGTCACAGCACCCCCAGGGCCTTTCCAGCTCTCCAGCCCCACGGGGTTGTTGTCCCTTGGCCTGGCTGAACCAAAAAGAGCACAGGGAGATCCTGTTGGAATCCTGGATGCTGAGAATTTTAAACTTTCTGTGCTGAAAGGCACAGACTCACAAGAGAACACTGCAATTGACCCAAGGCTGTGGAGAAGACTTCCAAAATTGATTGATAGCACTGGGATTATGGGCGTGTAGTTGGTTAGAAGTGTGTAATATCACAGGGTGGAAAACTTAAAGTTTGGGGTTTTAGAATATAGTAATAAATATGAAGCAAGATGGAGATTTGAGGGCCAAGGCAGGTTGTTCTTCACCTTCTTCTTCCTTACTCTTCATGGGTTTGGGTGGTATTTTGTAATTGGACAGAACAGTCTGCATTGAGGGCTTTGAGGGATCAGTTATTGGGTTAAAAGGGAAAACCATCTAAGTGCCAGTTCTCAGTTGGATAGTTTAGTCTTAAAAGACCTTGTAACAAGAGATTGTTGGCCATTTTGTGCCTTGCTAATGAAAGACTGCTGAACTCATGGTTGTGAGGCTGTTACACTGATAAGAAATAACAAATGCTTGAGTCCAAACATGAAATACCATCTCAAGTGCCTTCAATCCCAACCCTGACAGAAATAGAAAACACAAACAGAGAATCCACACATCCCAGGTGTATGTACAGCTTTACTTTGGTCACTAACACATGTACATCATCAAAGCCTGGAACATGAAAGAATTTGATTCCTTTACGATTCTGCCCTGCACTTTAATGCTTCCCTCTGTTCATGCTGCCTGATCACCATCACACACTCAGATCCTGCTCTGAAACAAACCAAAACACCCCCCAAAAGTTACATTAAATAAAGATCCTACTTTTAAAGGTCTACTACTTTACTTCCCTGAGTACAGCTAGACAAAACCAAAAATGCTCACTTAAAGGAAAGTGAAAGGACTGCATAAGAGCCACCATGCTCCTTTAATAAATTAAAAATAAACTCTTAAAGGGTGAAAGACTCAAAATACCTTTCCAGTTTAATAATTTCTCTTCCCACTATGTGTATAAAATTAGGAAATACAGACCAGCACATGCTTTGCCTAGAAAATGAAGTGTCAGGGTCCCTAAGGCAGTGACTCCTGTGGGATCTGCAGCCCCAAGGCCAGAACCTTCTCCAGCTTTAGGGATCATGAACCTGTGTGTGCAGTGACAGAATCCAGCCCTGAAAGAAATCCAGCTTTGAAAATCTAAGCCTAGATTAGAAATACAAACCCACCAGCCAAATTTTAGCTGTTCAAACTGAAAATTAATAAAAACTCTCATGTTTAATTGAATTATTCCCAAATTGGAGGTTGTACTCCAGAGAACACTGAGAATAAGCAGCTGCTAAACAATCAAGTTTATGGAAAATATAAAAAAAATAGTGGACTTCCTATCTTATAACAAAGTTTGCTCCTCAAAGAAAACGCAAAGCTACCTTCAAGTTTTATCACTAAACACAACTGTGTTTCTATTTCAGAAACCAAATAAAGAATCCAGATAAACATTTATCTTGAATTTACAGAATTCTGCTGCATCCTATTAAAGACTACGCTCTAAATAAAACTTCCTGTGGCAAGAACAATTTAAATTATTTTTGAACTTCACACGGAAGTGTTAAGGAAGAAAAAAAGAGTATTTCTCTGTGCTGAGCTAACATCTGGCATAGCAAAAGTGATGGTAAATACAAACAATGTCAGTGAGGGTGCTGGAGAAGTGGCTCTCACTGCTGAAAGCCCCATTTTTCATGATGATTTCCATTTGTACAAAGAGTTCTGTCATTATTCACCAGGATTGTGCAGTTGCACTGATTTTTTTACCCCCAAACCCTTCTGGATGCCATTACCAGTCCAACCTGCTGGAAAACCAATTCCCAAACTTGCTATTTCAGTTCACATGAGCTAGGTTAGGGTAAATCTGATGCTCTGTCACATCTTCTACTGAATGATAGAATGACCAAGTTTTTAATTTTTATTTTCAAAGAATGACCAAGTTTTCCAAAGTGTGAGAAAGGGAAGTTGCAGAGAAAACAAGGAACCCTGGAGTGGGAAGGAGCAGAGATTCCCTGGTTTTGGGCTGGGGGCAGCCATTGTGGGGCTCCCACCAGCACAATGCCAGGGAAAACTAAAAATTCAGAGCTGCTGTGTGGTTTTGTTATTGCCATGTGTTCAACCAGAGACTTCCATGTATTTTACTGGAGAAATTTTCCTTCTTGTCAACAAGAGCCACCTCAAACATTGTGAACACAGAAGATATACTGCAAAGCTCAGAAAGTGGTAAGGTTTAATCAATGGGAAATCCAACATTCAAACACTTTAAATATGGAGGAACAACAGAAACGTAGCAAAAAAAGGTCTGGAATGTCGGAATCCTGCACCTCAAGCTTCCCACGCATAAAGAAAACAGAACAAGTGTTTTGTTTGTTTTTCTATTTTATAAAGAAAACACACAAAAACCCTTTTAGGCCCAAGAGTTCACCTGCATTTCATAATCTTAAAAGTTTACAGTATAGAAGTCACATTAATGATGTACTACCTGTCAGCAGAACCAAAGCCTCTGGAAGTGGCAAATAAACTTCTCCACTGGTGACTGCTTGTGCAGAGCACTGAACAGCTGCACTGAACCCAGCTGGGAAGTTTTCAGCCTTTTCATTCCTCTTTGGAAGCAATGTTTGCATCCACCAGGTTTTTAGAGTGTGTACTATTATTTAGAAGCCTGTTACTATTGTAGATGATTTCATACAGCATTAGAGATGTTTGAAATCTGTTCTTGAATGTTGCATGACCTAGGTAGTATTTCATTGCAGCACCCATAACAATAATACTCAACATACTGCTATTAACCTGTTTGCAGTGTTTTAACATTTTTTTTAACTCTTGTTTATATGTAATAAAATACCAGTAAAGACAAAAAAATTGCCCCTATAATGAGGCACATTTTGGCATCTGTGCTAAATGCTGCTACATGGGCAGGCAAGTGCAAGTCAAAATATGAAAAAGGAGAAAGTCATCATCTAATCACATTCATAACTTTTTCATAGAAAAATATAAATATATTCCCTGAAATGTAGGACAAAGAAGAGCCAGCACCCATCACGAGTTCTAGTGCTATTACCATTAAAAAAAAAAAAAAGAAAACAATAAAAGAAAAAACAAACAAACAAACAAACAAAGAGATGGGCTGGCTATCCTTTAGTTAAGGTTACGTTTCACAGGCGGCCTCCTCAAGGGCTCTGTCGTCGTCGTCGTCGTGGTAGCGCACGGTGCGCCGGCCGCCGCTGCGCGTGCGGATCTTGGAGCGCCGCGGCCGCCGCCGGGCCCGGCCGAACTCCAGCTCCTCCGAGTCCTGCTCCTCCCGGCTGCCTTTCCGCCGCTTCCTGCGCTGCGGCCGCCGCCTGCACGGCCTCAGAGAGTCGTGGCTCAGGCCCTCCTTCCTGCCCGCTCTGCATTTCCTCTTGCGCTTCCTGGTGTCCGTGGCGTCGCTGCAGACGGTGCTGTCGGTCCCAGAGTCCGAGGAGAAACAGGGGAAGGTGGTTTTGGAGCTTCCCGCAGTCCCAGGTGCTTCCACATCCTCAGAGACAGAGCTTCTCTCCTCTCTTCTCTCCTCTCTTTTCCCTCCCATTTCAGATTCTCCTTCCTTGAAGTCATCCACCCGTTTTAATCTCTTGAAAGAAGCTCTAGGTTTTTTATTTGCTGCTACTCTGGTATTTTTAGTTTCAAGTTTAGCCAAGTCAGAATCTACCTCCTCTTCGGAGTTACTCGTACAATGGTTGTGGGCAGAAGCTGCCTGCCTAGAAATTCCCCAGTTTCCCCCATTTTCTACCCTGTGGTTTGTGGAATTCTCCTCTGAGGAGACGTAATCAAAATTATTCAGAGCTGCAGCACAGAGGGGTTTGTGTGGCTGCACGTGGTTATCACTCTGCTTCTGAGTCTCTGTCTCCGAGTCAGTCCTTTCATTCTCAGA